CTCATTGCTTGTTGGTACACGGTCTACAGCCCAACCACACAGACCAGTTTGCTGCCTGTGATCAGGGTGCTCCCTTGCCACTGCCTTGACCTCTGGCATGAATGGTATTTGGCCACTGGATGCTTTTCACTTTCTCCCGATTCACAGGTCTCTTTGTGTGCTTCTGAGTTACCACCATCCCAGGTAGATCTTCCTGGAAATTGTTTTTCTCTGTTCTTACACTTACACCAGAGTTACAAGGGGAAGGTCTGCACCATGCCCATCAGGGCAGGCTGGTGTCTATTGTATAGCCCCAGGTTTAAATACAAGTTTCAGAATAGGAGGAATCTTATCTTTGGTATTTTTCCCATTACATCCCTGCCAACCACAGGCATTGGGAGACTCTAGGATTCTCAGCAACTTAACCAAGTTCACTCCTTGGGAGCTTAGATTTTAAATGTGGCCCATGTGCTGTTTACATTCTATGTGTAAAGCATGGTGCTCACTGAGCTTGCTTTTTTAAGAGTCACAGAGTAGACCTCAGTTTGAATCCTGGCTCAATCTGAAACCCCTATGGGTGGTATTAGTCAGGAAACAGTGATTCATACTCCTCAGCCTCCTGTGACAGTTCCCACTCCAAAGACTGTATCTGTCCCTGCATTGTTCCCTCCATCCTGCTTCCTCTTTTCCTACTGTCACTGTTGGGCCCCGCCAAGATTCTTGCAACATCTAGAACATTTTTGATGTATGTTAGCTGTTCAGGAGAAGACAGCAATATGGCAAGTTGGCCAGCCAGCAGTTCCCTTGGCACATGACTTTCAGGGTTTGTTTTGGGAGTAATTAGGCTTGTTGGGACCACAACTCCCAGTGCAGCCTTGTCTCAAACTAATTCTTAAAAGAACACCCTACAAGACTCTTGGAGACTTCTTTCCTGTCTGATTATAACCCCAGAACTCTCTAATGGCAATGGCAGAGCTGACCATATCATCACAGACTCAGGATGCATCTCACCCAAACTAGCAGAATGCTCCTCACTAAAGGGCTTTCCTGGGAGGCTCTGGTGGGTATTTCACAAGGCTCCTGAGCTGTGAGTTTGGCTAAATCACCAGGGAGTGATAATGGTACCCACTCACCAGGTTCTTATGATAATTTCAGGAATCACCACTGGACCAGCAACACAAGTGCTCAGCCCATGCTTATTAGCATTGTTATATCAGGGAGCCTCTTCTAACACCAGTTCTCCGTAGAACCTTCACCTACATGACCACAGAAACTCATAGACAGGGCAGGGAGGAGAATCAGGGAGCAGCCAGCAACTTGCTGAGCAACACAGAAGCCCAGGGTGCCTCCTGCTAGCATGTTTGGGAAGTAATGGTGAATCCTGAATATTTAGTGTCAGAAGGACTTAAAATTGAAACAGCTTCTAATATCTCTACAGAATTTTTACCATGTAATTTCATATGGGCATTAAAAAAAAAATACGGGTTTAATTGTATCTTGTGCTGTAGGGAAAAAAGAAAAAGAAAAAAAACCTAATCACTTTCCATGTCTCTTTCTAGGCACGTCTTTAACTCCCAATAGAAAGGGAGCTTCTAAAGTCATGGTCCCTGGTGAAGGGTCTCTTGGTCAGGTGGAGCTGGCCAGTGAAGCCCACTGGTACTGCAGGAAATGAATGCATTGTGTTGCAGACTGTTTGTTGCCCCATTGTTTCCCAGGCACGGGCCTGTGTGGGAATGTTTGTCCGCTAACACACACAGCAGCCATTGTGTCCTCTGCAACATCCTACATGCAGCTGTGAACACTTGTGCCCGGGCCAGTTTCTGGGCTGTAGGAATTCACTCAGAAAGGAACTCTGTGAGCCACATACCATGGCAGGGCCCTGCTTCTCTCCGGGAATGTCCTGTGCTTTCCAACATTCCTCCTTCCACTTGGCCAAGAACAACAAGTAAATAAATAGAAGGTCTCTTTGCTGTATGTAACCCTGGGATATTCAGAGGTGAGATTTCAGGGGAAGCAGTTTCCAGTCTGTACAAAAAATCCTCATTCACAACTTTTCTGACCCAAAGCAGGGAATGGGAATTACTTGGCCAGGTGTGGTTTTGGTCTCAGGCAGCAGAGTTTACTACACAATGCACTCTTGGTGCCAGCATCTCTGGGGCCACATGATGTCCCTGTATAAACAGCCTCTAGAGGACGTCCCACCGGGTCATCTGACACCAGCCTAACTAGAAGCCTAATGTACAAGTGCCTCTGAAACCTAGGTGGTCCTTTCCCACATTTCCTTCAGAGCCTCTAGCAGGAGTCTCACACTTAAATCATGGAACAGGAGATACTGGTTCTCAGGGCTTGAAATGTGTGTCCAGGAAGACCAGGCTGTGACTTCAGAGAACAACCTACAGCTACCACCTCTGAGGATGAGACTGAGGCATGGGTTAGCAATGGCTGCCTTGGGAACACTGGGAATTTCTTCTTAGGCACAGTGCCCACAGCTTCTGTTGACAATAATGCTAGCTGAAGAATTGGCGGTTGTTACACTCAAGATAATGAAGTGTTTTCTCAAAAGGAATTGACGGCTTGGTCCCCAGCTGCTAGTTGACTGAGAGGTGATCAGATCATGATGGCACTAATTTCATTCGTGGGTTATTAGGAAGGAGAGGCCAACTGAGGTCCCACTAGGGTGTCTCTTTGAAGGACAGATCTGGTTGCTAGTCCCTTCCTGTGTTGCTCTTTCTGCCTCCTGTTCACCATCAGGTAAACTCATATGCTTGCTATGTGCTCCCTGCTGTGATATTCTGCCTCATGACCCAGGAGACCAGATACTACAGAGCAAAATGACAGTGGTCTCTGGGTCTGGGAGCCACCACATTCAGCACAGTGGTAGTTTCTTGTCAATTTGACATAAGCTGGGGTCATCTGGGAAGAAGGAATTACAGTTGCAGGATTGTCTCCATCCGATTGGCCTGGAGGTACAAGTTCAGGGCATGTTCTTGACTAAGGCAGTGACATGGAAGGGAAGTGCCATCCCTCAGCAGGCGGCCCTTTGGTTAGATAAAAAAAGCAAACTGAGCAGGCCATGGAAAGCAAGTGAGTAAACATCGTTCCTCCATGGCCTCTGCTTTAGGTCCAGATGTTGGGTTCCTGCCCAGCTGGAGTTGCTACCTTGGCTCCCCCTGGGAATGTGAGGCAGAAGTGTAAGATGAAATAAACCCTTCCATCCCCATCCCCAAGTTTATCACACCAATAGAAAGCAAAGTAGGGCAAGCCTTTTGGTTGTCTTCTTGGGTATTTTGTCCAGGTAGAAACACTGGCCACAAGACATACATGTGTACGTATCCCTATGTGTATGTGTACGAATCAAACTATGAGTGTATTCTCATCAGGATAAATATCTAAGAGTCACACATTTAAAAAAAAATTGGCAGTAAATTTAGAGAAGACGTCACGAAAAACATCACTTAGGGGAGTGTAAACATATAGATGGAGGATTCTTGTTTTCATTTTAAATGGGACTGGTGCTCATGACCAGGGTGAGGTATTAATGAACTTGCTGACTTCCAAGCATCTTCTCATGGTCGGAGGCCTTTCTGGGGCATATACTCAGCTTCCTCACAGTGCTTAGACAGTAAAGGCTTTATTCAGTTTTCTCAGATGCTAGCATAATGGGCCACTGATGGTAGCTGCTCTGAAGAGATTGCCTTCTTTGGCCTCTTTGGCCACGGATGCTGAAGACTCCAGTTCTCTCCAGTTATGTTCCAAGTGCCTCTCTGCCTCCAGACCCAAAGGTGGCTTATTCTGACCACCAGCAATTCAAAGTGTAAGGATGGAAGTGGAATGGATATCCCCATGAGCCACCTTCGTTAGCAAGCTCTTGGTAATCAAGTTTCCTGTCTTACCCACAGTTCTTCCTTTCATATTTGCAGCTTGGAGAGGCAATGAAGAAAACCACATGGAGGGCTAATTGTGCTCCCCTTCCCATGCAGCCTCCTTACCAAGTAATCCTGGGCTCTGCCACTTGTTTATTTGTTTGTTTTTCAAGACGGGGTTTCTCTGTGTATCCCTGGCTGTTCTGGAACTTGCCCTGTAGACCAGGCTAGCTTTAATCTCACAGAGATCTGCCTACTTCTACCTCCCAAGTGCTAGGATTAAAGGTGTGCGCCACCACCGCCCGACTCTGCCACTTATTTTTAACAGAGCAAAAAAGGAGGAGGCCGCTGAGCTAGAGATTGGGTTTGACTTCAAAACAGGTACTGAGATGGTCCCCTGCAGAACAGGCCTCTTGAGTGGCAGTCTGCCTGCCCTCCTAAGTATCTCCAGAGCAGGAAACTGAACTACATATAAAAGCAAGGAGGGGCCAGGCAGCTGTGGCTCACGCCTTTGATCCCAACTCAGGAAGCAGAAGCAGGCAGATCTCTGAGTTTGAGGTCAGCCTTATCTACAAAGGACAGCCAGGCCTTCACAGAGAAACTCTGTCTTGAAAAAAATAATCGGAAAAAATAGAGGGAAGGAGGGTTTTGGTAGTTTAAATAAGAATAGCTCCGCCGGGCGTTGGTGGTGCACGCCTTTAATCCCAGCACTCAGGAGGCAGAGGCAGGCAGATCTCAGTGAGTTTAAGGCCAGCCTGGTTTCCAGAGCGAGTGCCAGGATAGGACCAAAGCTACACAGGGAAACCCTGTCTCGAAAAACAAACAACAACAACAAAAAAGAATAGCTCCTATGGATTCATATATTTGAATACGAATGGCTCCCATAGGCTCATATATTGGAATGCTTAGTCACAAGGGAGTAGAACTCTTTCAAAGGGTTAGGAGGTGTGGCTTTGTTGGAGGAAGTATGTCACTGAGGGTGGACTTTGAAGTTCCAAAGCCCTTGCCAGGCCTAGGCTCTCTCTGCCTATGGATCATGATGTAGCTCTCAGCTTCTTCTCCAGCACCATGCATACCACCATGCTCCCCACCATGAAGACAATGGGCTAAACCTCTGAAACTGTGAGCAAGTCCCCTATTAAATGGTTTCTTTCATAAGAGTTGTCTTGGCCCTTGTGTCTCTTCACAGCAACAGAACAAAGGCATGGGTGAACTGACCTCAAACATGGGATCCTCCTGTGTCTACCTTCAAGAGCTACAATTACAGGCATGCACCACCATGCTAGGCCTAATTTAACTTACTTCTCTAAGATAATTATTCTCTTTCAGGTTTCCCAATGGGAAGCAAGCTTAAACAAATGTATAAAGTAAAATGTGAAACACATCCATAGAAAATAATCCCTTCTTTAAATCATTTTTACAGAAATCTACATTGGAGATCCTTAAACATTTTGGACACACTCCCTGTGACCCACTCAAAAATAGAAATCTAAAAAGTTGAACACTTTTTCACTTGTCATAAGGATACCTACTGTTCAACAATTTTCAACATAAGCTTAGGTAGCTGCTGGGGATGTCACTTCCAGCAGACTGCAAATAGTAACATTTGAAACTAATCATGTCATTTTTACAGGTGTCTAACCATGTGTCTAGGCCATTTAATGCCCATTTCCATCTACTAAAATATACAGGAAAAAGTATTGTGTAATATGTGGAGATGGGATAGCTTGCCTTTTTCTCCAGTTCATTTTACTCATGTTATTTTATCCTAATGAAATTGATTTTATTCTTGAAAGTCCTCTATTAACCACACTGATATAATTCCTTGCAATGAAATAGATTCGGGAACTGTGTTTATGCCTGGAATTCAGAAGGAGATTTGGAAGTAGATTGATGTCTTGAGGAACTGCTACTCCCCTAGGCAATTATTCAATGGTTTAGTTCAACATCATGCTCATTGGGATAGAATCTAGAGGCACAGGGGTAGGAGTGGGGGTGGGGGAACTCGACCAAAGCCAGTTCATCCTCAGTGAGCAGGCTTCAAGATCTTACCTGGGGAAGAGAAGCAGGCTAGTTAAAATAGAGACTACTGTTAGTATGGGACGCTCTCTCTGGAACCATGGGAGTATAGAGCAATACTTCATTGGCCTGGAGTGTAAGAATATACCCTGATGGCTACAAGAAGGTTTAGCCCTGATTTTATTAGGCTGTCTCTGCACAGGGAGCCACAGACACTATGAAGCTAAAGCCCCAGGAAGCAGCAAGCAGCTACAGCCATCAGACCAGTACCCACTCTGGGGGTAGTTGCCCAGAAGGAGTGAAAGAATGCACCCTGTGGGCAGCAGCTCCATTGGCAGGCCCATCAACGTGCTTTGGCTGTCTCAGTACATTGTTGGCACAGCAGCTCTGAAGTAGCAGTGCCAGCCAGTGCCTGCAAACAGCAGTGGGCAATACCAGCTCATGAGATTATCCAAGGGCCAGTGCCTTTGCTTAGTGCCTTGTTGCAAGTTCCAAGGTGACAATTTCCAAGAGAGCCAAAGCAGAAGAGCAAAAAGCCAACACTTTAAAGATTTATAGGCAGAGCCACAGGAAACACCAACTAGGCATCTCTCAGATATATCTACCATATATGCCCAAGAGTCACAGAGGTACTGTAAAACTGAAGAATGAGCCTAGACAAAGAAAGCATAGACTCATTTATCTGTGAAATAGAAACTAGGAATATTCCTGTATGGGAGAATGCCCAATCAAATTAGTCGACTGTTGATCACACCAGGGCCAAGTGTACAAGCAGAAGAAAGAAGCAGGAGCAAGCATGGCAAAGCTTGCATTCTAATTCTTATACAATTGAAAGGGTGAAAAAAAGTCATGGCTTATAAATAGCCTTCAGTTCCATTTATCACCATTCTAAATGGTTGATTTTAGTATAGCTTCAAAGAACTTGAAGTATATAGATGGGCTGAGTATTTTACTGATGCTTAAAACAGTGGTCCCCCCCCCCCCCGAGCAAAATGGGGCCGTGGGGTTCAGGATCAGGTGTGGACAAGAAGAGACTCTGTGCCCCAGAGAAGACATACACTACAAAACTGAGGCCCTACCTCCAGCAAATCTTCAAAGTGAAAATCCACTCACAGCCGAGCCTGAAATGGAAAACATTCTAGGAAGAAGTTGTACCTGCTGCCACTCTGCCTTTGCTGTTTTGTTTCCCCAAGAGGATGAGAAAACAACCCTTTACTGAACAGCACCATATTCCAAAAGCTTTTGGCTCCTGAAGACACATCAGTGTACATTCCCACAAGTCCCAGACCCTTCCTCTCACTGACAGTCACTGCCCCAGCCCAAGTCAGCTGCAACAAGTGAAGACAGTGCCATCAAGTCCAAGGCTCTGCAGTGCAGGTATGCAAATCAAGCATCAGTCTCCCTTCCTCCTCTGAATTCAACATAACAAACTTCTAGACCAAGGTCCATAAATTGGTTTAGTTCTGTATTATTTGTGGGGGGGGGGGGCGTCATTTAGAAAAATTGCAGTCTTTTCTTCTTCCTTTATATCCTCTGTACTACACAGGCCAGGGCTTAGTAAATACTGTTAAATTTAAATCAGATGTCCGTGATTCTATTGCCAAACAGTTATCAGGGGTCATTTAAGACAGCCCTGGAAAATCTTTCTTTGGGCAGCTCCTCCCACAGTGAGCCATATAATCTCTGTGTCTCCATATACCTATGGTATAATCTCACAAGGCCTGTGCATTCTGGTGTGGCCTGGACAGGATCCCCCTTGTTACCAGAAGTTGAAGATACAGTTATGGACTTGTAATTATGCATAATTAGAAAATAACAGGGAAGGAATAAGAAAGAAAGAAATGAGAGTAGAAGGACTGCAGATTATGCCAAATTTTACATACACTAAATCTGCTTTACACTAGAACTCTAAGGATACTCTGGATCTGGAGATCTTTCCAGAACATCACAGGTCCTCCTTTGGGAGAGAAGTCAAGGTTAGGGCAACTGTGTTTCTGCTGTGTCTCAGACCTCTGCCCAGGAGTACAGGTCCCACCTCCCCTACCCATCCCCACTCCCATCCCACCCTTTGCTCTCTATCTGCCCTCACTATTGGGCAAGGGATGAGAGTGACAGGTCAATTAGGCAGAGTTTCTCACCCAACCCCACATTAGTTACATCCTCCCAAGTATTTCTCATCTATTTATAGAGAAGGAACCAGATGAGGAAGAAGACTTCCTGAAGACAAGAGGAAACGTGGGGATGCCGTGCATTCATGTGAGGCTCTTGACCCATCCTGTACCCATGTAGAGAGTGGGGCTTTGTTAGGCGAGCTCCAACTTCACCCTGCAAACACTGACAACATATACATCTTCAGAAAAGCCCTTTATGCCCTACTTGAAGCCTAGTTACTAAAGAATAAGCCACATGTCTAATATTCCAGCTGTTCTGGTTTGTTTTGCCTGCAATGGGCTTATTGAAAACCAAAGTAACATTCCCAACAACTTGTCACTTAAGGTAACAGCAATAGTCATGATAAGCACACATACTACTTAAAACTGGTGAGCATTATTTTGTTTTAATGTATCCTCAAGAGCTGGTTCCTATTGCACCCTCATTTCACAGATGAGGCAGAGGAGACATGAGAGATTACCTTGTACAAAGTCATATGACTAACAAGTAGTGTAGACAGAATACAAACATAGGTGACATAGCTTCCTAATCAGATTTATAAGCAGTCACCCAAAACAACTCATAAATCCATATTCCTTGCTCAGACCAGTTATGTAAATAATGAATATTTATTTCTTATCAATCAAGGAGAAATGGAGACATCAGTAGAGTATTGGACCTTGAGCCAGAAGGGAAGTCTGGAGTCCATATTGTTTGCATCATTTTCTACCAGAAGGAAGGAGTTAAATTTATAAAGAAGAGAGAAATTGTGTGCTCTAGTTCTTTACATGGTTCTGATGTGTGACTCTGCAAAACTCCTTGGACAGAAAATGATGGCCATCTCTAGCTTCAGAGACTCACTCTGAGAGCCCTTTAGAGTTTTGGTTACATACAATGGGTTTAACATAAATCTAATAAAATATCACAAATAAAAAATAAAAATTTAAATTTTAAGATGGGTGATATGCTAACATCTCTTTTTAAAAATGACCCCCCCCCCACTGCTGTGCCAAGACATGGTTTCTCTGTGTAGCCCTGGATGTCCTGGAACTCATTCCATAGACTGGGCTAGCCTCAAGCAAATAGAGATCAGTCTGCCTCTGCCTCCTGAATGCTAGGGTTAAAGGCATTCGCTGCCACCAACACCCAGTGATTTATTTATTTTTATTTTTATATGCATTGGTGTTCTGCCTGCCTGTATGTCTGTGTGAAGGTATTAGATCCCCTGGAGTTGGAGTTACAGACTGTTGTGAGCTGCCATGTGGGTGCATCATTTTAGATACTTAAATGCTCAGTATTTTACCTTTCAGAAAAGCTTGTTTTAAAATGTTGAATATTGCTCTTTGAAAACTGAGAAGATCTACAAATGGAAGGAAGCCAAGGCTGTGAAGGAAGCATAGACAGGCACCAGTCTCTATTCCACATGAGAAAAGGCTCCAGGGGGGAGAGTGCTCAGATACAAACCAACAGCAGCAGCAGCAGCAACAAACCCTGATACACTTGACTGTATGGTAGACAGAACCAAAGGGCATACCACAGAACTATGAGACCAATTAATGTTGATGGTTATACAAGCTAAGAAAAAGATACTGGGGTTAGTAATTCTAGGGACACTTTGGAAATGTGAACAAATAAAAAAACATAATCATGTTGTGCTGTTTACCTTGGATCAAAAAAGAAAATAATTTGCATAGTCTTAGTAATATAAACTCTACTGATTTGCCCCCAAAGTACTGTGTCAATTAGGAAGAGTGAGAGGTAGGAGAGCCGTGATGTGAGAACAGTATAGCCTCGTGTGTGACAACAGGTCTTTACATTTCAGAAATAACAAGTCCAAAATGAAGGTAAAAGCACATTATTTTAGATTATAGAAGAAGAAAAGACTAAAGATGTAGCTCAGAGGTAGAGTGCTTATAGTAAGACGAGTCCATGGATTTGGTCCCCAGCTTTGCAAGAAAATAAGGAAGATCCACTCATGGTAGAACACATCTGTAATCCCAGCATTCCAGAGGCTGACATGCGTCAAAAAGCCAGCCTGTGCTATAGAGTGAGACTTTGTCTTATAACATTGTTCTAATTATTTTAATTATGGAGGAAAATATCAAAGGAAAATATGTTGGACTAGATAGATTTTGAGAACAGAATAAATGCCAGGAAGAATTTTCTGCTTTCTTAACATTAATGTTCTTTGATCTGATAGCATCTCGATTCATTGCTGGCCTGAAACTCCTGGGTGGAGCCATCCTCCTTCCTCAGCCTCCTGAACAACTGGATTACTCCTTTTCTTAAAAAAGCGCTTTGAGCAGCAGGTGACATGGAGCTGTGGTTAAGAGCACTTCCTGCTCTCCCAGAGGACCCATGTCAGGTGGCTCACTACCACCTGTAACTTCAGGGCCAGAGAAACCATTGCTCTATCCTGGCCTCCACAGGTAGCCACACATGCTCATATACACACATGCACAGGCACACACACAAATGAAAATAAGGTAAGTCTTTTACAAAATACTTAGAAATACTATTAGATTTCTAAAAATACATCCGTGAGTTATTTTAAGAAGAATGAAAATTAGTTTACTTTAGCAGGCATCTGGGACTCCCTGATGGTGTGTCTGGAACACTTGCAAAGATCATTATACAAAATGAGAAAAACCAACATCCAAAGAGAAGAAGAAGGTAACCAGCAGGCTATAGTTGACTTCATTACTGACATAATCATATGGAAATTTGGTAGAGTATTCAAGAGACAGTCAAAGTGACTTGGAGAGTTTACCTTATGCATATATCAGTATTATATCCATGCATACCTATTTATAAGAGTTATATTGCATAGGGTATATATGCTACATATATTCCAAATGTTGGAAGAGCTTGGTATCACGGTGACTGATGCTGATATTGTGAACAATCTTGGCTTTCAAGCCTGTGCTGAAACAGAAAAAAATCATGCCTTTTAAATGAGCTCATTTATGACTGTGTTTTCTGTCTTGCACTTAAAGAATTATAACACTTAGAATTGGGAGGGACAGGGGATTAGATTAAGATGGTTAACTGGGCACAGATGCCTAAAATTGACAAAAGAGGTTATTAGATTAAGATGGTTAACTGGGCACAGATGCCTAAAATTGACAAAAGAGATTATGTGTTTAAAATGATAAACTTACAATACAGCTGGAGAACAGCAAGGCATATTCTTGTGGGTCAGAAAGAATGAATTTCTCAGGAAGAGAAGGCAAGCAGGATTGGATCAATAGAGGAAGCTCTTTTCAAAAATCTACAGTGTTCTCATGACAGTCTACTCTATTGGTAGAGAGAGGAAATCTACAAGTTTACAGTTCTCTCATTTACAGTATTGTGTCTTTACAAACAGCAAAGGCCTGTTGTAGAAAAGAAGATTCAGTCTGGATTGCTCTGAGCCTCCAACCACAAGTTGTGGGTGGCAGTGTGAGTAAGAAGGGAACCCACAGGAAAAAATGGGGGTTATTGATTTCCAAAGTACATCAGGAACATCATATTGGGTATCCTCTGACCTCTACTTACCAAACAGAGGTGCTGCCCTCAGGGGGTCAGAGTGACTGTAAACTTCTGAAGAATATTTTGTTGATTAGTTGTTTTTTGTTTTGTTTTGTTTTGTTTTGTTTTTTTGTCTACTTCACACAATCTGGATTCATTTGAGAATAGGGAACCCCAAGTGAGAAAACATCCCCATCAGATCAGTCTGCAGTCAAACCTGTGGGGGATATACGTGCAAAGTTCCAGCCCACTGTGAGTAAGGCCATTCTTGGGCAACTGGTCCTGGGTGATATAAGAATTCAAGCTGAGCAAGTCATGGAGAGAAAGCCAATGAGCAGTGTTCATTCATGGGCTGTGATTCAGATCCTACCTCCAAGTTCCTGCCTTGAGTTCCTCGTTGGCTTCCCCTAATGGGGAACTGGAACCTATAAGCCAACAAGTCTTTTCCTTCCCAGGTGGCTTTTGGCTGTGGTGTTTGTCACAGTGACAGGAAGGAAACAAACTAAGGCTGGTGCCTTAGAACTACCCAGAAAGTAAATGGAGACCTCTCATACCCAAAAGACTGTTGCTACACGGTCTGACAAGGTAAATCAGTAGTGCTTGAGAAGGCTGGGAAGCATGCAAAGCAATCACAGACAGGCTTCAAGGAGACTCCATGATGAACATGAGCTCACAGCTGAGAACAGTCAATCTTTGAGAAAAGCTAATATCCCAAAGAGTAAGCAGAAGGTATTTTTTTCTGAGAGTCTTGTGTTAATACCCTCAGAGGGATAAGAGAGGATGTTGTCCCTGGGACTAGGAGACTTGGTGGGGAGAAAACTGTGTTGGCTCTTTGGAATCTGATGTGCATTTCACTGTGCACTGCACATAGACAAGGAAGCACCCTATGGTAACAGGCTGGCCACTCTGTTGTTGGAAAGCTCACATTTGTAAACTCAACAGTTCTGTCATATAGAATTTTGACTCTTAAGCTCATTTGTCCTGGGCCTGTCATTAGAGTCTATTAAGTCCCCTTCCTTTTCCTTTAGAATTCCTTTCGAGTATTTGCTTTTTGCTTTCACAGTCTTGTCTACAAGCTAAATAGTATCTCATTCATGGGCTTCTGTTCGACAGCTTTCTGAACTTTATTCTTTTGCTAGCCTTGTCCCAAAGCTCATTTTAGATTATCCTTGATATCTAAAACATGCCAGAAGGCCCGTAGCTGCCTGTATTCAGAGGTTTTGCTTTATTTTCCACAATGATATTATTACTTCCTCTGATTATGCAGCTACTATTAATACATGTAAGTCCACATGAGCATAGTGCCTTCCCCAAAGAACTCCAGGAAATGAGTAAGCAGGTCTGTTTCTCTAATGTTTTCTGTTGGGTTCATCTGTTTAGTAAATATTTATGGACTTCAAGCTATGCCCCAGAAATGGTACCGGGTGCTATTGGGACCCCTAAGGTATTTGAAGCAGAGCCCCTGACTAAGGAAGCTTGGTATCTGGTAGCACAGTGCAGATAGGAGCACAGAGCTGTGAGTAGACCGGCACACACAAACTAAAAGCAAAAATGCTTCCCAATAAACAGTATTGCAGAATGCTGGTGGCGTCAGAATGCCAGAGCAGATTCCTTCCTTGGACTTGGATCTTTTTATCCCAACTTCCTGTTCCGGGTGTGTCCTCAGTTCCAGGGCTCTGAATGTCTATTTGTTCTTATTACTCTCCTGGGCTTAAAGATCAGCTGAGAAGCCTGGCTTTCCAAATCAGACACCCATTAATCCCATTTCTTTATATAAGCAAACACACACACACACACACACACACACACACACACACACACACACACACCTATACTGCAAATTGTAAGTAGGGAGTTGAGTTGAATAGATGTGTGTGCATCCATGTTATAAAAACACTATTCACATAACCAAGAGGCAGAAGCACCCCAAGTATCTACTGATGGATAAATAGATGGACAGCCCGTGATTAGACACACAATGTAGTATTGTTCTGTCAAAGTATGGAACTTCTGACACATACCACAATAGGAATTACTCCTCAAGATGTTATAGGAAATGAGATGAGCTAGTCACAAAATGACAAACATTAAATGATTCCACTTACATATTACTTATAGAGATGGAAAGACGATGATGTTTGCCTTGGGGCAGGGCCCTGGGAGAGTGGGGAAACAGTGTTTAACAGCTACAGAGTTTCAACTGGAGAAGATGAAATAGTTCTACAGATGGTCATGTTAATTGTGCCTAAGTGTGAATGTGTGTGTGTGTGTGTGTGTGTGTCCATACGTATTTGTAGGTACACAGTCCTGACATGTGAAGGCCAGTAGATGGTCCTCTTCTACTCCACTTCATCTTGTTCCCTTGAGGCAGTATCTCTCACAGGGCTAAGAGGGTGCTGCTGTCC